TGTACAGTGTACCAGTAGAGACTGATAGATGGGGAGGAATGCAATCTCAAGAAAACTCCTGTACAACCCATAAGAATTACACATCAGTTGAGGCAAAATTTTACATACACCTGGTGGAACAAAAATAGTTTTCCTCGAATTTCACAACTTCACTCATTTCAGGAGGACAAACAAAATGGGTCTCTACTTAATGTACAGGGTATGCTGCATATGCATCATAGAAAACTCCCAGAGACACATGATTCATATTTATATTACAAGAAATCAAACTTTTACATGTACATGTATACATGTACTCCAACCCTGATATTAAGTGCCACTTTCTGTATTTTTTGTCACATGTCATAGTCGCAGTGGACCACTTTCTGAAGTGTTATTAAATGACAATAAGGGGGTAGATGTAAATTTTCACTAAATGATTTTTCAGAAATATTAATATTTTGAACTATAATACCCGATAAATGTCTCTGAGTATTGAGAAATACACACTATGAACATTAACTTGAGATACAGTTTGTCTGACGTCACACAGAAAAGTAGGCAAAATTATTTCAAACAGCGAACGATTGAGGAAAACCTTTTTTCTCCCAAGTTTTTGTACTGGTACACTTTTTGCCCCAACTGTATACATGTACATAAAGATCGTCATTATCCCAAACTCAGCATTAAAAATACCGGTGCAAATCTGCAAGTATTACACTTGCATTTTTGTTTTTTTATTGTCTCTGAACTAGTATTTTGCTTCCATAGGGATAGTAAGGAAGTGTACATGTATGTTAATACTGTACATGTACATGTATGGTACATGTACCTGTACGGTATTAACACCTGTAAAAGCCTTTCTTCCAACCCGGTAACTGCTTTTTAAAATCTTAACAATGCAGTGATCGTCATGAAGTCATCCAGTCACCACTGATACTTGACCATATTGCTCATCAGTGATTTTGTCCCATGTGTCATTGAGCCTGTACATGACTCAGACTGCTTAGGCCTGCTTCACTGGTCACTAATCTGAAGCCTGGCAGTCCGTCCTTGTTTATATTTGGCCACCGGACTCCCCTTCCTCCTCATTGCCACTTCTGTTTCCTTAGAGTTATTCCGAATGGCTATTTACATGTACATCTTCACAAGTTTCAGGACATCAATCAGTTTCAGCATCTCATTTACACAAGCAGTTGCTCTGCCAACCGGTATATCGTATGGGACTATGGTACTTGTAGCTGAAGAGAACAGAGGGTCTTGATGATTTGTGGTCTCATCTGTTTGATCGTGGTTGGATGGAGAAGCCATTCTCGTTTAACTGAACAGTCCACAGACTGTTTGCTTATTTTTTACTGCCTTGAAGTTCCTAAATCAAAATTGGAACTCACATGTTGTGCCAAGTACACGTAAAAATGCCAAGAATTGCCTCAACTGTTAATTTTGTGATTTGAAAAAATCTTTTAAAACTCATATCGTATTTTGTCAGATTTCTTTGAAAAGAATACATGTAGGTACCGTAAAACAAAATATTTTTCCTTAAAACAAATACATTTTTCTGGAAACTATCAAAATACATAAATGCCACAACCCTTGAATTAAGAATTATTATTTGAGTAATTTTTTTTGCCCAGTGCATACTGGTAGTTGGTTTTCATAAATGTTAATATTGAAGGTCAAAGGATTACTTGCAATTATCCCAAAACAAACTTCATGAGTACAGTACAATATGTACAAGTTTACAAATTATACAATGTCATATTGTATCATTTGCTTAGACTTGAAACATCCTTTGAAATTGATGTAACCTTAACCCTTTAATAGGTTTACTTTAATATGCCATTGTCACTGGAATGAGAAAAATGGCAAATGAGAACAATTGACAGGGATACGGTTTTGTTTGCATTTAAACATTTGATATTCTTGAGACTTGTACATGTACATTTGATATTCTTGTTTATTTAAAACATGTTTGTTTGATGTCTGCTTCTGAACACTCTAATATAAGAACAGAGGACATGCAAGAAAGGGATGTGACATGATCTGCCCGTCTTGCTCGTAAAACTACCGGTATCATTTTGAAAAGTACCAATATGGGCAAAACAATGAGCGAAGCTAAGGATGGCAGCGCATTCAGTGCGCATTACACACAACGCACTTACTGGTACTTTGCCTGTATTTGTTTACATGTGCTCCCAAAATACGTTCGCTCTTTTGGTCTTTGGTACTGCTATCTCTCTTCCTTCAAATGTTGCAACCACATTGTTTCAAATCCCTAAGGGCCAGATAAAGTAAATAGAGGATTTTTTACAATCAAAAAATGGCTTTGTTGACTTTTAGGGATGGAATTCTTCAACTGTGGGTAAATTCCTTATATTGAGGGGTGAATTTGCCCATAGTTTTGATTTAGTCGGGCGCTGTGGAGATCATGAAAACTCCCTGTGGTTTTGAATAGGACCTGGCAGTCTACTCGTGTGTGTCTGTGGACATGATTCACAGTTAGAAGTGAGCCCTCTGTTGTTAAAGTCAAGTCTGATTTGCTATTATCTCTGTTAACCGTACATGTACATGTATTGGTACATGTAGTAATTACTGTGTACTTGTATGGTGCCCTCTGTTGACAGTGCCACATTCGAAAGTTATTAAATAATCATGTACCACTATGTAGTGTACGTGTACATGTATGTGTACTGTACAGTATATTTGTACACATACCTGTACGTACACTATCCCTACAGGGTACCGGGTACATTTTACATGTGTACGGGTACTAGTACCTGAGTGTGTTTCACCTGAACTACATGTATTCCTCCATGCCTGAACCATCTGCCTTGTTTATTATTTTGATAGTTGTTTTCCAGGTACATGTACATTGTACATGCCATTAGCATACATGTACATACATGTAAACTTGTTTGTACATGTACACATATACTGGCACATGTACTGTGAAGGTGAAATTTTTTATATTTTTCCAACAGTTTTTACATTGTACATGTACATGTACATGTACCATACTGGAGTACAGTGCATTTACATACCGGTACAGTGCATCCACGAATAAAACAGAACATTTACGGTACATGTAATTGTACATGTATGAGCCACGGTGCACAGGCGGCAGCTTTTGCACGTAGATGTACATACGGTACATGTATACCATACTCTTTTTATTTAAATGCAAGATTTTGTGAGGTGTTTCATCTATTCTTTATGGTATTTCCCCAGATGACTACGGTAGACTTAGTGTGCTTTGATTTCTGAGTAAATGTCAAACAGTTTCTATTCAATCATGATCAATATGTAGGCCTGGTATCCTGCCCTGTGTTTAGCATATTTTAGCAAAGCCATGGTTACACTGTGTATGTATGCTGGCTGAGTCCGTATGGTGCAGCTGTTGTGTTGTTTTAGGTGTTTTGTGCCTCGCATGCTATACCCTTGTATTGTGTGTGTATAATATTAGATTCAATGCTCACATTTCCTAACTTGTAAAGGTTATTTGTGCAAGATGATCTTTTGAAGGTTTAAATTACCTACATGTACATGTACTGGTAGTGGTACGGTACATGTATATTCCGATATGTACGTGTACTGGTAGGCCTATCATATTTTCCAGAAAGATGAAACAATTTTTATAGAATGAGAATAGTACCGGTTCGCCTATATTTATTTCTACAAACCAGCAACTCGACAGATATTTAAAATACATTGTATATACTTTTTTCACAAGCTCAACACTCAACAGAAGTCTATACATATGTAGCAAGGTATGAGATGGAGAGAACCCCCCCTGCTTTGTGTTGGTCATTGTCTCGCAGGAATCTGGGGAATTCCTTTCAGACATCTTGGGGGGGGGGATGTGTTAAGTAACAATAGTCTGGAATGTGTATAGGGATTGGACATGTTGGGGGGTACCCCTCGGTCTCATTTCTTGCTAGGTATAAAAGTCATAGAGGCAGCCATTGCATGCACAGGTACATGTACTGTATGAGCTCTTACATCATACATGTACTGCACTTTGTACCTGTAAATGTTCCTTTTAACAAAAATTTAAGCATTGTTGTTTCTCTTATTTCAGAGGTCATTACAACTGGTTACAGCTTGACCGCAAGGTTCTAGACCACGAGTTCCTGCCAAGAACCGGAACCCTCATCCTTTACTTTCAAGTTCAGTTCTTTTGTGAGAGTATAGCACATCTCAGGGATAGCATCACTATTGAACTATTTTATCTTCAGGCAAAGAATTCTATCTTCAAGGTGAGTGCATGTTTGTTAATGCATGCGTGATTTACTTTTTCTTCAACTTTAGTCCACTATTAGGCTTTGTTGTAGGTACATGTACATGTAATAAAGGGATTCTGGATTCTGGAGACCAACCTCAAGCTTTACATGAGGATATGCCCCAGTGTTTTGCAGTGTACCGGTACATTGTACCTGTGCCTGTATTGACAGTGAATACATGTACATGTAGTACATTTACAGTGTACATTTGTACTTGTTCCAAACCTGGAAAATTGACTTCAAAATGACAACTTGGTATTCCTGTACAGTTTATAAACATTTTTGCTTCAAAGAAAAGCAGGATGTTCAGCTATTTACATGTGTATACATGACATGTACTGTAAGATACAGGTACCATACTTAACCTACATGTACATGTAAGGCACTAAATTCAGTAATAATACTCTGTACCCAGAGCTGTCTAAAAACAGTATTGACATTGTACCGGTACGTGTAAAACCATGGGGAAGGGGGGAGGTTGAGGTCTTCAAATGTCAAGACAAGAATGACAGCAAATTACACACAAATAACAGATGTCTTCAACACTTTCAGATGTGAAAATAAAAGCACATAACCACTGATACATGTGCATTTAAGAAAATAATAAGGTCTACATATACCGGTACATTGAAAAACAGCAAGAAATTCAAAAGAGAAAGAAAAACAAATCTGAATACATGTATAAAGGGTGAAAGAAGGAAACACAGAGAAAACCCTATATTAAGTTCTCTGTTCCCTGTATGAAGTTCCCTCTACATGCATGTATAATGTTCCATGTTCCCGATAATAAAGTTTACTGTACAAGATTCCTTGTAGAAAGTTCTTTATTGAAAGTTTGGACTTTTGCTTTCTTGGTAACGATTCATTGTACCATGAAGGAAGGAAAAGATGTACCGATACCCTTGTTGAAATTGTTAAATGTGAATATCTGCAAACTTACATGTAGTGGAAAAAAAACATTCATTTTACATTATTACAAATGAGAGTATGGACTCTAGAGAATTTGTGCTGTGTCCAATCCAGCACTACATGTACATGTATGTGTATGCAACCTTTGTCCAAGAAAAAAACCCATGCATATCAAAAGCATTGAAACCTTGAATAAAGCCAGTACCACTGCATGTGTATTGTGCTTGCACCTTATTATTTAGTGAGTAAATATTGGGTAAAAGAAATTGGAATTTTCTGGTTGTTTGGTCAAACGCTGGGAACAAATTGAAACATTCTTGGTTTGGGAAAGAAAGCAAACTTTGTATGGGCAGAGAGAGCCCACACAATGCAATATGAGACAGAACTCACATGTGTACATGCACAATGAATTCTGTAATAAGGCCCAGCAGCATTAAAAAGTGAATGTCCTCTAAGCTTTTTTTTGAAGCCTGTGTGTAACCCAAGGCAAGATGGATTTCTGAGACTGATTTATTGATACAAGGCAGACAACTTTTTCTAAAACAAATGCTTGTCAGAATTTTGGCCCAGAGAAGTTGAGAGGACATGGGAACACAGATTTTGGGTATGCTTTGACCCTTCCTCGCCGATTGTTTTTTGCAGCCACAACTTGAGATAACAAATGCAAAATGTTATACTGGTAGATTTACAGATATTGCTATGGGGCACCAGAATCATCTTGAATCATACACATGTAAAGACAACAATGTAATTATTAGTTCAGTACACAGTGCTAACAACATACATGTACCGGTAGCACCACTATCACAAAAGAACTTCTCTGATGATGCCGGATTTAATAACGCATAAGTAACAGGCAAGAAACACTGGATTTTGTGATGCATGTGTAATGGGCAAGAGACGCCTAGATTCTGTAACAGAAACATAACGGGCAAGAGACGCTGAACCTTCAACTGGTGGCCCAGTAACCGAGAGACTGTGTGTGCGGCAAGTCGCCAGTAAGTTTGCCCCGTCCCAACCCCCCCAACTTCGGCCCAAGGTAGGGGGGGGGCTGTGGGGGGCCGGGGAGAGGCCACCCCGCGACTGGGGCTTTTAGGCCCAAAACAGGTCATGGGGGTTCCCTGGAGACAGGGTCCTGGGAACCGTATTGTGAGAAATGAGACATTGTTGGTACATAGTACTGTACATTTCAAGTAATTCAAACTTTTACTTTGTGTTCACATCTGTTGTTAGAAAGGATTAACACAAAATGAAAGGTGTCTGTTTTGATGGATTGTAAAGCTTGCAGAATCCCATTTGTCATCTTATATGTAACAGTACATTACATGTGTAAATGTACATGTACACAAGTACATGCACATGTACATTTACAGTGTACATGTACACATGTACCGGTATGTTTTACAAGTTGGCATACCGGTGCATGTACACTGTACATGTACATGTGTGTAGGCTACATTGTACATGTACACTGTACAGTACATGTACATGTAAGTATCAAGAAACTTGTGGTAATTATGGATTGATTATGGTACAGAGTTACTGGGTAACCGTTTATATTGCTTAGAACAAGCATGTTGGAGTCAGTTTCTACTGTTATGGGGGCCAGCCTATGAGTATAGTACCCTACATGTACATGTACAGGACACATGTACATGTACCATTCATTCAAGATGTAAATGTACATGCACTGCAGGCCTACATGTGTACATGTACCTTTATTTGGTATCAGCAGTTGGTCCTGCATGTACAGGTACTATGAGTGCTAATTAAGAGCAGGTGGGTTCTGCTGAGGGCCTTCTCTTCCTGAAGCAACAAATCCCTCTGGCCTTGTATTAATTGAGTCTGACTTCTCTCAGTGGAGTTGATTCAGGCAAGGTTGGTCTGAGGTCATCTTAGGCAGGTGTACTACAGCAGTTCTCAAGTTTTGTCTTGTACATCTACCGGAACCTGTATGGTATCTATCCCCACAAAAAGTCTCTCTCACAAGAAGAATGGGAAACAGTAACAAATTTTGAAAAAAATTCTGCCACAGGTAAACAATTCTACCGGGTAGCCTACCCTTCTATCTTTACAATACTGTACATGTGGGAATTTTTTTCAGGGGATGCTGGTATGTTTTGAGTGTTCCCCTCAAAATGACCTGAACAGATCTTATGCTCAGGCAGAAAATAAAGACTGTCAAATTATCAGTACATGTAGATGTATATGCAAGCTTTTATTAGTACTGTATCGGTAGATCACGTCAAGTTTCCACGCACCAGAGAACAGATACTGGTAAATATCTTTTGATGCTGGATGTCTTGCATATCAAGCGCAGATCGATAAATACCGGTACATGTATATAAAGATATGAGTAGTCCACTCTGAAATGATTTTTAATTTTGTTTTAACGGTACATGTATATGCTCCTGTTTCTTTTCTAGTCTTCAAAATCAATACTTAAACTGGGATAAAAACCATCTTCTTCCTACTGGTAGCATGCACGTCCACGTACATACATGTACATGTACCATGTGTACAGTACAGCTGCTGGTCATTATAGTACATATAATTGTAAAAGGGGTACAATACACATGTACATGTATTTCAAATTTCTGTTCAACTAAAATAATTCCAGTTACATGTACATGAAAATCTTTCTTTTTTGTTTCATGCATGCACGTCAAATTCGAGAGAACCTTGAGAATTTTGATGGTTGAATGCATGCATGTTTTCCCCTAAATTTATTAGTTACAATGTTGTATAAAGAACTCTTGTTTCTTCCATCAAAGAACCTTGGAGAATACATGTAGGTTTTGATTTGTCTTGAGTTGAAACCAAATTTAGTCATTGTTATTAAAATCTTACAGTAGAATCTCTTTGATTTGCTCATCACCAGGGTGACATTGAAGTAGACAGTGAAACTGTGTTTGAGTTGGCAGCCTATGTACTACAAGCTACAGATGGGGATTTTATAAGGTAAGGATTAGTGTTTTAATAAGGGAAAAAATGTGCCCGGTTGGTCTTACAAAGTGCATTCAAAACCGGCTCAGAAGAATGTACTTGATTAATTCTGAAGCCGCAGGTGAACGTTCGTTCTCCTGAGCAAGGTCTTAAAAGTTTGTTTGAGTACCAAACACATTATTCCCATTCATAAATACATGTATATGTACCTTATTATTCAGTGAGTCAAAAGAAGTCTTCCAAAGATTTCCACCGATTTTGTTCTAAAATTTTACTTTCATTTTCTTGAATACCCCCATCCATTTTATGGTATATTCCTTTTGACAGTTGTCCAATAGAATCCCCTTCAATGAACTTAGTGCGCGCGTGGCACTTTGCGTGCACACAGACTCCTGACCAATCAGACCCAATTAAACTGTCTCGTATCCATCTGCCAGTGCCTGATTTATGCAGCGGGCATTATCAAATGTTAATACATGGTTATGTGATGCGTTTTGATCAATAGGAATAGAAAAACTGTCTGAGGTACAGATATTTATTCTATGAGGATTTTCAAAATTTTTCTTGGACATCATGAATGTCTTTTTATGGATATTTGTGGAAATTTACATGTGTATATGTACTGCAAGCTGACTTCTTTCATGCACATCATTAGCAAGTTGATGTGAAATGTTATCCAAGGCCTCCGGATTCACTATCCACAGATTCATTTGCATTTAACAATGTACGGGTACATGTTATGGTACCGGGGTAGTTACAAGGCAGAAATATTGCGAACTAAATCTACATGTACCAGTACACGTACCTCCTAAAATCCATCATAAGCAAATTAGATATACCCAGTAAATTAACATTTATTTCTCTTGAGTTCTTGATCAGACTTAAAATTCTCTGTTTATTAAAAGTGAAGATGCCCAGTGAGAATCTAGAACAAGTTAACTTGTTAGACCAGGTACCGGTACTGTACATTTTATTACATGTACATTTTATGTAGTACTTTATCATGCATGGAAATTGTTTCAAGATGGACGTCTGAAATGCTAACAATGCTAAAACTTTGCATTAATGATACTCCTCTGGATATAAACAACAATCAGAGCAGATTGCTTCCATGTGTCAAAGAGACACATTGAGAAAGTGACGATAAATGTCACCTGAAGACATGGCACCAGGCTCAAATCCAGTGGCTTGATATCGAATGGGGAGAAAACTTGGGAGAGAGACAAAGATGCTGAATCAGGCACAATGTGAATCTGATGGAGAGAGACTATTTCAGTATGCCATCTACATGTACATGAGCACCTTGAAAATTACTTTGGATGTTATCTGCTGTTAAACTTGCCTGGAATGGGAAATAAATATTATGAATGTAACATCAAAAGAATAAGTTTCTCTTTTTGTGTTTGTGTTCTGACAGTATAATTGATATGAATGATGCACAAGGGATTTGTGATTTGTTGATTTGATACATATAGATAACCATCGTTACCTTGTTTGAATGATTTTTACATGTAGTTGAATGATGCACAAGGGATTGGTGATTGGTCAATGAATGATTTGATATATGTACATGTAGATAACCATTGTTACCTTGTTTGAATGATTTTTAGTTGAATGATGCACAGGGGATTGGTGATCAGTCAATGAATGATTTGATAGACAACCATCGTTACCTTGTTTGAATGACTTTGGCACTTGTGTCACCATGTGGCTTGCATTTCCTTCAGTCAAAGGATCAGTTAAATTATGGTTAAAGAATTCCTGACCAAAGTAATTTATCTCTTCCATTTCCTGTTAACTTTACCTTATCTTATAGTGATGCTAAAGCAAGGAATGATCTGAAGACGCTCCCAGTCCTACCTCACAGCACACTCAGGGAGCATCCTTCACTGCCTTATTGCGAGGAGAAGATAATCTTCTATTATCGTCAACTAAAGGGCCTCAGTCGAGGACAGGCAATAATTTGGTAAGTAGGTAATTCCAGAAATTAGGGGTCCAAAAGTGTGAACTTTTTGTGTCCCTGTTACATATGACCTTTGTTATTTGACATGGAAACATCAACTGGAATCGATTTCAAACTATTACTATTTCTTTGGAAGGTACCGTACTTTGCATTAATTTAATTCGTCACTCTTGGAAATTTGAAAATGTGTTTTGAACTTACAAAACCATCTGTCATATGTGACAGGGACACAAAAAAAATGGATCACTAATTTCTGGAATTACCCAAGTACATGTAGAAGACTCCTGTTACTTTACATGGGGTGCAGTGTGCCTGCTATTTCGAGAATTCAAGAAGTTTCCTTTTAAACATACCAAGGAGTGTGCTGTGAACATTTGGGGTTGTTTGTTTGTCTAGGCTAATCTGCTTAAATAACAACCATATCATGAATGACACATGTATAAGCTTGTGAAGGAATAGGCCTATTCACACGAGCGCCGATAACAGAGGTCCTGTGTGATGAAATCACATTGATGTTAAAATCACAGAGATATCATGTAGTGTGAAAGTCTAGGTCACGAAATCGCACAGTTATAACACAGGTCCTGAGCGATCATCGCAGCAATCGAGACCTCCTCCAAAACTTCGCATCGATGCAAAATCTGTGTTATGATCACCGTGATTGGACGTGCGAATGCAGAGAGTGATCGTTGCGAGGGTCCTGTGAGTTGATACACCTTGTGGTTGTGCACGGCTCCCTCCATTTTATCTAGATATCGGTCCTAGCCATCATCCTAATGATGTCCATCGTTTCTTCAAAAGTCCAGGAAATCTTCTTTTTTCTGTGTTTTTTTCACGGTATTTTGGCAAAATACCGTGAAAAACAAAGTGACGTGCGAAGCTGGTATCGCACTTGGGGTGTATGTTCCAACGTGTAATTCATGGCACCACTTGTCCCGTATTGAATGTCCATGTGTGCCCTCGTACTGTACTGTACAGAACTACACGTGCTATATAATCCTACCAAATTGCAACAACCTTGTTTCCCCACGATCCATGGGCCTCGAGCTACATGAAACTCAGACAAGAAACTGGGGGTGAGTTTGTTTTGTCAAACATTTCATTTTTGCTGTGAAGCCACTGTTGCTAGTACAGTTTGGGCCGGTGCCAGTTTCGGATCCGCACCTCGAGCTCGCCGTGGCTGCATGCATGATTTTAAAAGAAATTTCCATTCGCAAATATTGGGAATTTCATTTTCATGTTTGTCTCGCTTTTTGCACAAAATATATCGCATTTTGCGATGCGAATTCAGCTGTTCCCATCACTGCTTTGCTCGGCTATTTCAGACAGGTCAGAAGTTGCAAATCGTGGCAGAACAAGGAATGTCAGCTATGTGATAAACATTGCACCATGTGAAAGTCGGCGAAGAAATCTCACACATAGCAAGACGCTGTGGCGTTGATTGTCGCAGACATTCGTTTTCGGCGCTCGTGTGAAGAGGCCTTATGTGCACTTGTTTTCTGCTTTGTGAAGTGTGTGCATATCCTCCATCAGACTGTACAAGTATGTATTATTATACATGTAAATCACAGTCCCATGGGCCATCATGAAGGACAGTAAGGATAGACAGTAAAGAGGCCAGAAATAGTCAAGGTGTAGTTTAATAGAAAAAAATACAAAGGAAGTACATGTACATGCATATATGCACATTTATGCACATGCACATTACAATCAAGTATGACATACGTCAAAATCGTTGCAAAGATTTTGTAATTTGTTAACAGAACAGAGCTATTAACAGAAACAGAAACTAAGAATAAGAATGCAGTCTTGCCATCGATATAAGGGATAACTTTGAGGAGGGGATAAAATATGTGATAAATGTAATGATGACATTTAGCATAGGATGTATGATACACGGCTATATCCCTGCTCTCACAGGATGTTGTCCTAGGACCCCAACTGAGAAATACTGATTGGCAATTTATTCCTGAATTGTTGACAGTGTTTCATGGAGAATGCAGACAAACTGTGTGAGATAAATTACCTGGATGTCACTCCCTAACATGATGCTGCATGTGTGGGATATTGGACACACAATGAGAAAATGAGAGAAAAAAAGCAAAAGCAGAAACATGTTAAAAACAGTACCTTTTGAATGAAAGCATGTCAATCAGTTATTTTTTTAAAATGCTCTGCTGACTGCAAGCACAGCTCTTCGTTTTATTTTTAATTTTCAAACTTTCAGGAATTACTGAAAA